CACATGTTGTCCGTTCATGAGGTAGGTATATGACGTAGCGAAACTTAGGATTAAAAACGTGGCAGGCAACATTGCCAAGGTCCTAGAGACCGAACATGCGACGTCGAAAAAGCTCTAACAAAAATTTGGTCGTTCATTTGAATGACTACTCCATCAAATGCGGCAAATTTGTCACTGTGAAAATGTATTGGTAAAAATTCCATTTGAGGGTTTTTTTCCTTAGTTATGCAAACATACTAAACATTTCAAAGACGGACATTTCTGGAAAGGTCTATCTTTGGACGACAAATATTACTGGATAGTAGACGACAGTAGGACTTTACTTGTACAAAATTATAAGAGCTTCTAACGATGAAACGTTGAGCCGGTGTTATTCTGCTGATCAGTAGTCAGCGTCGCAACACCAATCTTCATTTCTTATAAAGAATTATTAAAGGGCCCTAAATATTTAAAAGCAACTGAAATTTACAAGTTAATATGCAAACAGTTTTACGCAAAAAACATTTCGGACGTTACCACAATGCAGTAATCTACACACCCTGCAATATACACGTATTCGCAGAGCACGAATACACCGACTTTCGTGCTTATCTCAATGCTAAGTGTTCGATTTTATTAGTCAGTATTAGAATAGATATTGGTCTCACTTACCGTCCACAAACTTCCAGAAACTACACATGCAGCTAACAGCCTTACTGCAAAAAAAAAGTCTAATCAAGTCAATACAGTTTAGGTTGAGAAATATATCCGGGTTTATATTAAGAATATGTTCGAAGTCTTTTAAATACCTGTGAGTCTTAAATCAGTTTCCTGCCGGAGAAATTCTATTAATTCCGAAACAGGCATTGGTCATCTGCGAAAGTCTAAAATCTGCGAATGTCTAATTGTAAATTAGTCCTTTTGAGGATCAGTCGAATTTAAAATGCTCATGATTTTGTTTTGTTCTGTGGTTTTACGCCAGTATGTCGATTCCTATTTAGTTGTGTAGTATAGAAAATCCAGCGCCATGACTAACTTCAAAAACCATTTTCCTATTTAACTGACCTTTATTTAGCTGTCCCTGTATCAAAAACTAAAGAGATAGATATACCGTCTTTTTTAAAGTAATCAAAGCTCTTTCTTTGCATTTAAGAGTGTACTGATAAAGTTGTTATCAGAAAATACATGTGGGTAAAAAGTACTAGCAATAACGAACACAAAAGGTAGTCTGAAGCAACAACAGTCGCAAAAGTCTATTCTACTATGCCTAAGATGCATTAATTTTACCTTCATTCATATCAACCCTCGTGATTTCAATTCTGCGTGTTTCAATGTCGGTAGGCTAATAAGCTCTAGTAACCCTAACAAAGTATTGTTTATTTTCAATGAGGTTCTATATGTTACTAAATTAGTGAGCTAACTAATTGCTACTCACAGATGGAGGACTACAAATGATGTGTACCAGGCGCAGCTACAAATGGCACTGATAGAAAGAGTAGTAATACGCAACGTTTCGTTCAGTTGTATTTTGAATGGCTACAAACCAACATGAAGGCCAGAGATACCTGCTTTTTCTTTCTCTTAAAAAAAGTGCGTCATATAAACACGCAAAATTAGTCACTCATTTGGACTGTGTCTGCAATTATCTATGCGTCACAGTGCATGTTGCCTGTCACCTTTCACTTTTCCGAAAAAAAGGAGCTTCCGAGCGGCCGACTCTCGATGGTATGGCGGGTACTCTGACGCATGCCCAAAAGGAACAACTATACCTTTTCATTGTTCTGTGAGCAGTAATCGCCTTATTCGGAGTTGTCTGAGCGAGCTTCCTAGTGGCAAACTGTCGGTTGACATATTTGAAGCAAAATAATGACGAACCTAACGTCGTAACGGAATTGTGACGGGAGGCAACAGATTTTCCTCCAGTGTGATTGTAAGATCTTTGTCATAAAGGCCATAAGGCCGCCAAAAAGAAAACCGATGTAGTCCTGCTACCTAGCAAAGCCGGTATCTTTTATTGATCCAGTTCAGCAAAATGGCCAGTTTCATTCTAGTAGTTGGTTATTCTGTCACTGTGTTTGTCAGAATGCTGTAGTTGGTTAAATCGGCAGCTTGTAACGTAACCATTATTTGGACAATACATAATGGATACACTCGTGTCGTTTCGGCTTCGATTGTACATGCAAACATTAAGAGCTGATAAAGGAGCATGCAAGCCTGTTTTCGATGCCAAAAAACGCCCTAGACTTCAATTCCTTGACACAACTTGAAATGATCTATTTAATCTAGCATTTATGTCACTTACAATCTGTTCTATTTTTATATAACTCTAGATCGTTTCTATGGCGAACATTGGTGAAGCACGTAGCCAATCTTCGCAGCAAAGTTTTGAAAGAAAAGTGACTGAAACTCATGTGGGTTTGTAATATAAAAGAATTGTCAGGCTTTTAATGAAAAAAAAAAAGGCAAAAACGTTAAGCATTGGCGCTTCAAGCTTCATGTTTGATTTTCTTGCATAATGTTTCCATTCTTGCATTCTTATGCTATATATTTATCTCACCGTTGCCTCTGAGTTTGATTTTCTTGCAGTTCTAACCTGCTGGCGGATAGGCTCTAATTAAAAAATATGCAGTAACCTGTGAAGGGAAAAGAGCGTCAGTGTTCGTAATGCTTATGTAATAAATGTATCAATTCAACTTTTTAAAATAACGAAATTCTCGGTAACAACCTCTGGCCTCACGTACACGTCCAACTGACGTATCCCGCTAAAACTGATAGCGATAAAATTATTATGAATAAATTCACTTAGAATAATAATAATTGTTATTATTAGGGTCGTTTGGCTTCCCACATGAGCCTGCCGCTCACCTTCCTAAAGCAACACTTTGTGGCGCCTCGTGTTACAACGGCGACACGATTCTACAGATGTCTGATCATCGCTTGGACCTGGGGTCTTCTAAATGCATCTGTATGCGAAGTTTCCCTGGATTCCCCCATCGGTGACAATCCCCCTCACGAACTCGACATATCATCTGCATTAGTTTGGTTACGCTGTTATTGCTGCTGCAGTCGATGGATACCAACGAAATGTACAGCCATCTCCTACATCTAAATCAGTAACTAGACCGTGCGGGCACCCGGCAAAAAAAAGTTCTTCCTGACGAGTCCGTTTACTTCTCTTTCTTCGTGTTTAACCGCTTCTCCTAGTTCTTCCTTCGGCTCTATGTTCGCTTTTGCCCAAGAACGACCCAACCTCTATGTATGCATTTTCTCTACGTACTCGAAAGAAGGTTCTCTCCCAATGGCTGTCATCGAGCGCGCCAAGAAAAGTTCCACGTCTTCTCGACACATCTGGAACCCAGCCGTCATCTAAATACGCTAATGTTGGAGCAACAGACTACCGTCCACTATTCGGCTCGGCGGGCGCAGTTCAGAAAAGCCACTCGGGGACAGGCACCGTCAAGTAGATTTCTACTCGTCTTACTCTCTCTAACAGACACAAAGTTTGATTCGCAGTAAACTTATCGGAATTGAGTCGATTCGCGGTCTGGGTTTTGTCTTTGAGGTTCATAGTATTCAACTTGCCCGGAAATGTTTCGAAAATTCCGAATTTGCAAGAGGTTTCCCGTCAATTAGGTAGCTAACAAAGCTCCGTTTTAAGGTTTTCGTTTTGTGCGAGGAAGCTGTTTCAATCAAGTGGTACGTTTAAACACTTCTGTTGCTATCACCAGCTAACTTCATTAAATTAGGTCCGACCAGGTATCTTTTTACAAGCCGTACGATAAATGTCACTGCACTTATTTGCTCGTATAATATACACAATGCCTCATACCTTTAATTAAAAACACTCTAGAAAAATGCAAGCGTCCAGTGCTGCTCAAGTCTGGAGAAATATCAAGCTTTATTTCATCGTCATCATTAAAAATTGAACAAGCTTCATTGAATCTGTTGAATCAACAGTGGCAACCAAAATTTTAGAACTCGTATGTGTTTACTTGGTTAGCGCTTTTTTTTATCCACAAAGTGCCCAAAAAAATATCTACATTGTACTGTTTTCGATCTACACATTCGTATATAGCAACAGTAATAAAGAACCTTAGAATACGTTCTATCCAGATTATCGCACAATGGTAGAATATTTTCATTCTCCGAATAAATGGTACCGATCTTAAGCAGTATCCCTGGTGGTAGATTGTAGTAAGACGGTATAATAACAACATAAGGTGAACTTTAAAAGATCAAATACACGAATTTCATGGATGGAATGGAGACTTGAATTTTTAATGGTATCATATTCGCTCTGATTTGTTAACGTGCGTATATGAGATGCTTGATTACTACGACCAAAGTTGAACAAATGAAATTTTCTTTGTAAGAATATCTTTTAAAAAGAAAATATGAGAAATCCCATTGTAAGTTTTCTTTTTTCGTTTATATAATTTATGTAACGTTCTAACTTCAGTGTTGTTGTTTTTTTACCAAGTAAACATAACAATGATATGATGCTTGTGTTGCGGTGAGATGTAACTGCGATGTTCCGTAATAGACCAGCGAATAACGTGTTCGCGTGTTGATCTGGGTTCGATTCCGGACGTAAACGCTTTATTTCCTGCTGAAAGCTAGCTTTGTGAAATAACCTTGACGACTTAATTACCGGACGCAAAACATTATAACATTGCAATGACAACAATGAAGCTAGAATATTAACCCGGAGAGAATTCTAAGCTCTTCTGTAGTTTGTATTTACAAGTTTATTTTCCAGCTCCTTACTTTGTACGGACTTTTATGCAAACTTAATACATTATGTTATAAAATAAAAAATTAACTTTTTTAATTTGCAAGTATATATTGAATTAGTTTTTATTAATTCTTTCTGACTATACTAAGAATGGGAGTTCTGATAAAAACAAATAAAACGATAAATAATGTAATTAAAACTTAATGTAATAATGTAAAAACTGCTGAGCAATAATAAAGATATTTTTTATATTACATAATAAGGTAAAAATGATATACAAATTTAACATAATAAGCACTACGCTAATGGAGAAAATAAAAGGCGAAGAAGGAGAAAAATATTATATAAAAAAAGCAGAAGGAACATGGAGAGAGATTAAAAAAGGCCGGTCACAGCAGATTTTCTTGCATGACAACCGTTGTAACCAAAGCCTTCGAACACATATCAGGCTTGCACTCATTATCATTGGTGCATCATTGACTAGTTTTGTTAATAAATATATTTAGGAATCCATGTTTAGAACAACCGTAACCTACGTAAGAAAAGTTGTTCTTAAGAAACTTATTGGAGACCCATCAGTATAGCCATTTATTCCCTAATTAATCAACAGCCTTATGCAGAAGACTCGCGGAACGCTTAAGTATTTGGCTCATACAAACAGCCATACATGTCAGAAAGTCCTTCAAAACTGAAAAACAAGCAGGTAACGGATCCGCATTTAAATTGTTCTTCCTACAGAAGGCCCGATGATAGAAAACACATGTACATTATGTACATTCGCACAAATACAGCGACGACAGTATAGCGTACAATTACTAAAAGTGCTGTAAGTGTAATTAAGTTCATCATATTTTATGGTTTCGACAGCATTTCATATCTCACTTCTTTCTTATACAACTGTTACGGTTCGCAGGTAAATTTCGTGGATGTAGAAAAATTGCTGTCTGTATTGACACTCGATAGTCCCACTCTGGTCCATATGAATGGAAAGATTATGTCCTAAACTAGCTTTTCTACAAGCTAGCTTTAATGACTAAAAAAAGTTACTACGCCATAAATTAGTTCTAATAAGTGTGCCAATGTAAGCTGACGTTGTTTCCTAGGAAAAGGTTTTGTTATATATAGACGATTACATTTATATTTAACAACTAACTTAGACTACAGACTACTATATTTCAAATCTTCTCTAAGGATCAAGAATAGTGTAGAATTATGAGCTAAAGCATAGCTTTTCAATAGGATAAGATCGAGAAGAGTTGTTGAGGTAAAATTGATAAGTAGATTGACAAAAAACATTAAGTTTTTTACTTAGTCTACAACAATTTAAACGGTTCTATAGAGGTAGTGACACTTTTGCTTAGGAATTGAACATCTTTCACTAAATTAGTTCGTACTCAATCTGGCTGTAAGCTTCCTTAGAAAAACAAAATTAGTTAGTACATATTCTTGGGGAACAGAATTAAGCACGCGAATTAGAAGATAAATCTTTACATCAAAAAACCTAGCCGACTACGATAAACCAACGTGGAAATAAAAGAGCGCCGAATTGAAGCATGAGACGCCAAATTTGATTTGCTGGCGTTGTCCGACCTTTTCGGTGAACCGTTTTCTCACATTCAGTTAGTATCGATACCAGCGAGCTAATAATTCCGGTATAATATACTCTAAACACTTCCCATCATGCCGCATGCTATGCGGTTCCGTTGAAGATATTTGTACTAGGCGGTTTTAGGCCTCACAAAAAAATTAATTCTATTCATTCGTCTGTAATGACTGCGGGACCGACATCAATAATCTTCTATGTGTGAACGTTCTCTCTATATAGCTCTGTAACTTTTGTAAATTTCAGTATACTTTTTTTTGGTTTGCCCTCAACATTAGTTGCCTGGCACGTATTCAGATAAAGACTAAGATTATGCTATGTACTGGCAAGCATTTTAGATATTTTGGCCCGACACATCGTTCTAATAAAATTATCAATCTAACGAATTATTAAAGAAAAGGTTTTCTTTACTTTTGTCAATTATTAAATGCTCTACATATGCTTTAGGTAACAAAGATCTATTGAATTCTGCTGCGATAGACATCTCGTTGATATTTAAGTAAACATACCATTATAATATCAAATTGATAATCCGATTCAGTGTAGAGCCCACATATATGTATCCAATTATTATTAATATTTTTATATTATTATTCATGATTTATATAATACCAGCGGGTAAAAGGTGAAAAAGCAAATAAATATACTTTTTTTTTTCATTCTTCAGTCTATGCTTACACCAGTACACACTCACACAAAGGTATGTGTGAGTGTCTCTCGGTGAATATGAGAATTTCACAAAGTATTATCTTTATTTTACTTTTTATATTTTTGCAAATTGGCTGCGGACATTTTGACCCGGCCCGGCATATTGCGAGCCACATCCTGGTCTTTCGCTGCCCTCAAAAGGTCTTTCTCTCTTTGCGTTGATGATTTATCATGCTGGAACATATTTAGAGCAATTTTAGCTGCCTTGCCGCGCTTATTTATTCCAGGAGTCAATTTGACCTGTACAAAAAAGGAAACAAGAACGATCAAAATTAGATATTCACACAAAAACCAACTAGGCGCAAGGAACAATTATAATAAATTTCTGATACTAATATATATCATACTTTTCATTAAAAATGATGAAACAAATTTATCTGTATCTGGGCTGGGCAAGCAAAACGCGGACTCAGTATCGCTTTATAGATATATCTAAAAATAACCTAATAAATGTCCAATATTTACGATAAAAAATTGACTTATTTTTACAATTTTTACACAATATATCCGTTACACTAGAGTATTAGATTACTTAGGTCTATTACCTTATACTTGTAATTTATTATCGTGGAATATGGGGCACAAATTGGTACGGCATATAGAAGAACGTCATCCTCGACCGGCACCCCAGTAAGCGAATTGAGTATCGCGGTGAAATCATCGGTGGGGGACGCGTCATCGTCTGTATCGTCAGTCGCACCCTCATCATCGGCGTCATTATCTTTTTCGCTTTCTTTGTTGGCTTCTTCGGTCGCCTTGATTTCGCCTTTGTGACGTTGTGGGTCCCATTCTCGGGCGTTAACCCTAGTGCCATCGGTCTCGTCGCCACCTAAAAATTCTTCAGCGCTCGGCATATTTTTCAAACTTTTTTCATCTGTCGTCGTATTTTTAGTTACCGCGCTAGTTTCGTTGTGTTTTCCCGCAGACGCCAGAAGCTTCATTTTCAGCTGACGTTCTTCTTCGTCCTGATCTCCGTAACGCTGTTTAATTTTACGCTGTTTCGCTTTGGACATTTTTTTCTTTTGGCTCACTGCCTGTTGGCCATCTGCTGTCTGTTGCTGTGGTGGTTTTTTCTGCTGGCTGTAAGAACAAAGAATCAAACTATTCTATACTATTTCTCCTAATAAAAATTGGCACAGTGCTATTGCAAAATTACTGCGATTTCAGCGATTGACTCCTCGTAAGATAACATGAAAATCGTGTACATAAATTCATTTGATGGAAAAAGTTACTTAAAAACAACACTGAAACATTCAAGTAACACACCCTTTGTCTTTCTTCTTATTGGCTGCTTTCACTATCGTTTTTTTCTTAACTGGCTGTGAATATACAACGACTTCCTCATTCTCGGGCTTTTGAGTGCTTTGCAGCAGTTTCCCCGGGGCAACTGGCTGGAGCACCTGAACCTGCGTGTCAGGAAAAGCCGAGCCCTCATCTTCATCTTCCGACGAGCTTACTGCGATCTCGTTTTGGTCATGGCTTTCAATATCATCCGTTACTGATACATCATCCATCACTGGTAAGTTGTCGTCAGCTAAACGCGCCTACAAAATAAAACAATAGGTTTCCTTGAGAGCATAGTATATATCACCTTCTTTTTAGAACAAACGTTTGTAAATTAAAATATATCACATAAATTAACTATTTAGAGCTAAAAACTTGTGCGATAGGAATCTTGGACAGAATTAATACGGGTGTGATTCATTTGTAAGTTCAAATAAAAAAAAAATTAAGAAACTTTATTAAAACATACTGGATACAAAACGTATAAAAACTTCACATTGTAGCTGCACCTTAAACCCAAGTGCTTGGTCTCACCTTACGATCCTCAGCATGGCGTGGAATACTTTCCTCATCCAGGCGGAACATGAATCCGAATCCCATGATTAGGTACAGCGGAGGAAGAAAGTTCTTTTTACCACGAACCATAAACGAACCTTGCGAAAGGTATTCACCGGTTGGCGCTCTTTTGCTAACCTGATCCTGGTATACCCACCACGCCGTCGTGACCACCTTCGCTTCCCACGCTGCACTGTAACAAATAGCCATAGTCCCTGCTTCATTTAACGTTTTCGGTGGGATTGGTTCACCTGAAAACGAACGCGTTATAGTTGGTTTAACTAACAGTTTAGAGGCGCACATCTATCGTTTAGTGATACCGCTAAAGTACACGACGGGGGCGTCTTATCATGAGGCGGTAATAATCAAACGCATTTCATTTTTAAGCTTCCAACTACAGAATATCAACGCAATAAAGCAAACATACCCGATGGATTTTTGATTACAATGCTTGACGCTCCATGAAGATCAGCGTGCACATAAACGTCGCCTTTGTTTAGGTACTTCTTGACGATTACCTCATTCTGGAGTGCGTCGCGTCCCCCGATAACGAGGTAGTTTTCAGACGAAATGAACCAGTAGAATTTTTCGAACCAGTACGTCTTCCTCGCGCGCGCAATATTCGTCGTTAATTCAACCTGCTTCAGCATTTCTGTCGTTTTTTTCTGAGCTGACTTCAATGCTTTTGCTGAACTCTGCAAAGTCTTCTCCTGCTTTTTGGCTGCTTGCTTCTTTTTTTCGAAATACTTTGTCGCGTTGGCATATGCACTAAGATCGATATCTATGTCGACCACGGCAGCAGCTTCATCCTCGTTAAACGGATCAGAAAGGTACATCAAAAAGTGATTTCGATCAAGGTGTAGCTCTTTTATAGATTCGGCTACAGGGTCGCCTTGGAGCTGGGCCTCTTTGATCATATCACCAATATCATCCCAGCTCCTTTGCGATGCGATTGCCGACCGCACAGCAAATAAGGCTTTTTCAACAAGTTCAAGATTGTTTTGTATGAGTTTAGCTTTTTCTACGTCCATCTTCTGGGCCGTTTCGAGCGCGCTAACTCGTTTTTCATGATCGATTTTAATATTTTCTAGCTTCTTCACCGCTTCCTTTTCAAGGTTGTGGGCTTTCAACGAGATCTTTTGCTGCTCTTGTCGAGAAAAAAATGTGTCAACGGCCTGCAGAAAAGATTTAAAATTTTCTGTCCGCTGGTTCACAAGGCTTTTGAAGGGAAAAGGGTGGAATTCGTTATACGAGATAATTTCCGTGCTTCCATCTTCAGTAGGTTGAAATCGTTTTTCAACTTTAAGCGTGATGATTCTGAAATTTATTTGAAGGTTCAATTTAAGGCGTGAAATTATAATCGATCAGCACTAATAAACTGAAAATATGAATTTTGTTGATAGTAATCGAATACACAGCCATCACTGAACACTTCGCGACTTGAGTTGCCTATACTACGAATGTAACGTGTCACGCTTTATAAAGAAAAAATATATAATTTCTTTTAATCCGCATTGCTTATACTTGCCGCTGTTACCTTTATTCACGACACGTACTATACAACCTGTATCAATGAAGAAAGTTATACATTATTTGAGCTGTATATTCTTGAATAAACAAAATCAACTCAATCAGAACTGACCCAGAAGTTGTGCCAGGTCGTTTAAAATTCTCGAGCATTTCGTGTCCTTCAAGAATGGCCTCGTGGATACGTTTTACCAGGTCATCGGTAATGAACCCCTTTTTGATTTTCGTGTTCACTGTTATATCACGGCTTTGCAAGCAGTGATCAAGGATAGCAGGTCCACAAAACACTTTGGGAAGTATCACCTACGGGAACCAGAACGCATCTCACTTTTAAAAATCATCGAGCGTTTACAACATAACAGTGAGATCATAACACAATATTGAGTTATCTGCATAAATGAAAAAAAAACCGTCATAAAAACTAATTTTCTTCCTTCGATTAGATCTATCCATCAACAAACTCTATAGTTCTGGACAAATTCAGATAAATGACGGGAATAAAAAATAGCGCGAAAAACTGTATCGCCTCTACCTTTTTTAAACTATTGCCCTCCTGAGCGTTTTCCAACCACCCGCGGACATCACTCAACTCCAGAATAGGGATGGCTTGCGTTAGTGCGAACACAGGATACTTTTCCCGCACGGCTAAACGAACATCTTCAGCACCTGCCTGTCGTGGTCTCAAGATGTTTAAGATTACGTAATTGCCATCCGTCAGCACAACGTTCCCTCTATCGTACATCTCAATAATAACGTGGTACGTAGCTTCGTTAATACCTAAAATAAAAGAGCATGTTTGATAAAAGCGAATTAACTATAGCTAACACGAGGTGGTACAATATATTGAACATTTGATAGGCAAAATATTCTATGCAGCATTCCTAAAGCGATTGGCTCGACTACCCAGCCTTGAATTCACTGAATCCTAGACCTACCTAAATATCGTAATTACTTATTACAGCCTTTTGAAAAATATCTACGTGAATGCCGGTTGATGCATTTGCTAATTATAGATAAGACGTGAGAGAACAAATTTACCAAACTGAATATTGACGATTCGGTCCACACCAAGTTGACGAATATGCTCAATTCGTTTGTTGCTTAGGTGTTTCCGCAATTTCATTGAGAAGGTTGAGGGAGCACTTCCTTTTGGCCATTCGTACTCCGTAGTATGTATTCGGATACCGGACTCAAATAGAAGGACAGTTTTCTCCTGAGGCACGCATTCAACAGGCACCATTATTGTCTTAAATGTTTGCTGCACCAAGTGCGTTCGATAGAGCTAAGGATCCCCATTCTCGTTGGACGATAACACCATTATTACCATAACTTGTGTATATTAGCTGAATGAGTTTAAGAAACCTAAAATATTGCATCAGAAAGGAATTGCAGTCTCTTCGTTGACATCGCACCAAATGTCTGCTCGGTCTATAAAGAATAATGAAATGACCTCATTGAACAGATAGATGTGCTTAGAAAAAAAGAAATGTTTCAATTTCTCCGCTATAGAAATATAATTTCTATCCGAGAACTATTTCTTTTTTTTGAGTAAAACCAACAGTGCCAGTACTGATACCCCCTTCTGCTACAATAGGCAATCAGTACGCATTAGTTTCGAATAGGGAGCGTAATCATGACCACGCTGATAATCACGTGCGTAACAGCACGGTGAGCTGAATTGCGAACGCAGATCATTTAAAAAATTGCTGCCTCTTAGTTAAGGATCAAACGTAATACTTCACAGCTGTAAGTTCACTATCGTACTCCTTTAGCTATTTACGAGGCAGTTTTACAGTTCTAACGAAATAAAGACGTTGTTGTAACCCAGAAAAGAAGTCAAATTGACCCCCACCGCAACTTAAAGTAAACAAATATAGTAAACAACGCAAAAGGGCTTTAATTTGCTTTAGATTAGCTTTATATACGCTACTTCAGAGGGCAATAAAAAATCCACTGTCATATTGATAACTGTAATAGGCACAGATTTTAGATACTAAAGATTTTATAACATTTGCAGACAAATTGACATGTTTCTTGTACTCTCGTATCAGAGTATCAATAAGTGGAAATCAGATTGGTTTGCTCTTGAAACTGTTCAAAAAACCTTTTATCACTAAAAGTTTTGTGCATTGTTTTATTTATATTAACAATATAACAGAGATATTTCCACGAAATATTCAATACGAACACTTCATAGCAATCGTTAGCGCACCTCCTGTCTGTTGAGTTTAAAGAGATAGGTCTTCGAATCGACATCGTACACCTGCACAACTCGCATACCAACTAGGTTCTGTAATTCGTTAACAGCTGCGACGATGTCTGCAGAAGTAAACCTTGACTTCATGTTGTCACTTATGTTTGCTTCAGCCGAGTTAAAATGCAGGTCGTCTGTGCAACAAGGCAAACGCGCAAGGAGCAGTAGCAATAAACAATTGCCACCTGATAGATGACAAATAACAGTGCAACACTCTACAGCGCCTATTTCATGGGCGCACATGGAACACCTGGTGCCGCTGGCACCAATAATGCGTCGCCTTAACTCTACATCATCAGCGCACCCAAAACATCGGAGTGCATAATACTTAGTGGCTTCCAAATCGAACGTTAAGCAGTCGACAGGCAGTTATGCGACTACTATTGGAAGGAGCGACTTGGTTGCTATCTGCTAGGAGCTGCGCTGACCAGGTTAAGTATTCGAACGGCACGTGGAGGTCTTTATTTCGCGGGCTCTTGTAGCCCCGCGCTGGCCGTGAAATGGTATGACGATTAAAACAAAAGGATATAGGACAACACTGATGGCTTGTGGAGCTATAGAAATCATAGTCAGAGCCAAGTTAGGTGTAAGTCAAGTGTCATCATTAGTCTTACTTATTTTTGTCTTTTAGGACACATTTCTAACTTCAGAGCTTACAGTAAGAAACACCTACTCTCGTGCTTTTTTTGTTTATACATCTGTTTACGCACAAATAGTGCTTGTTGAGTAAATATTTCTAAACAATTAACATCACAATATAATCGTAAGAAAATTAGAACAATAATACATACATTTCCACATAGTAGCTCAACAGAGCAGCATGCCGAAAAGTTTATCGCATAACTTGCTTCATCGGTGTCAATGAAGGAATCGCCGTACATAAAACACAGAATTCTTGTCTTTTAGGAAGCAGGTGGCCAAGATTTATAGGCAGAAGAATGTATATATATATAACCGAACCCTGTAACGATTGCCACAGGAAAGGCGAATGTATCTGAAGTTTTGTGTCACGCGCTATTTAATCAGTATCTCCATTTATTACCTAAGTATTTTTCTTATCAACAGTGTCCTGTTTCAAGATTCTATTAAGGCGGTTTATTTCGTCACTCCATTTTTGTATCGTTTTCTCGTTGACCATTTTACTTTTCAAAGGCTTAATGCAACACCAACACCACAGCAAAAAATTGACTTTTTTTTAGAATTCTTTGAGCAAGTAGTAGGGTGAAAAGAAATATTCTTGCAATCAAAAATATCACAATTTTGAAAAAAGAAAGTCTTGCAACTTTGGCATAGAGATCCTGCTATTTTCTGTGTTGCTAGGCCTAGTATCTTACGCATTATTTTGGGCTTCGACAGTCTCAAATACAGGGGTGTAGTTAGATTTGTCCGGCATAATTTTGTTATTAAAACATATCGAACTATAATCCTCAAAATTATTTCAGATGTTTACCTGTTTTCTATGCTATATGTCGCTTACTACAGCCCACGCCAAGCCACAATCCTTTGTTCAGGCTCTACATAACATGCACACAAAATTATGCGTAAACAATTTTCTAGCTTAATGGGTATTTCTTTAAATAGGACCCTGATCGAATTTCCTTCTTGATAACGAAATTACTCCAGAAGTGTAGTACGGCATGACACTTGTACATGCGTCCATCCAATGAAAAAGGACACAAAAAGCCAAAAAAAGAGTTCAAGCACGACCTGACCCGGTTATTCATATTTGTTAGTTGGAACTCGCGCCGTATCCCACAATAATGAACGACCTAGATTATGCACCGCATTATCTATAATAGTGCTGCTTTTTTTCGCTAATCACTATCCCATTCAACGACCTGAAAACACACCAAATCAGTGGGTTTTACTGTTTTATTCTAAATCATCGATCTCGAAACCACATCATCGAGATCACCACATCATCTTCGCTCTCATAACATACTCATCATCATTACTCCTAATCATGCTTTTTCCGATTTTGTTCTTCATTTTCTTTATCTGTCTAGTGCTCACGGGCTTATGTTAGTCCGCGGCTACATTCTTGTCTATATATATATATATATATATATATATCTATAGACTTCGCTTTTGCTAATCACCATCCCCTTAACATTGTCTTACGTCTTCCAGAGTCCTCATGCATCTACATGACACCTCCTTAAATCGTCGTATTCGTCCCCTGGGAATATACACAGTTGCGTTACCACCCTCGCCATCTAGATCATCCTCAACCTACAACGGCATCGGTTTACCACAATCCCATCGTCCTCATCATCCGTCTAACAATTATGCACTTGGTACTCTACTATGCCTCTACACTAAACCATCGCAATATTCGCTCGGCACAATGTTCTTATTGTTGTATTGAGTGCGTTTATTTTTTCGAATTTTTGTTATTACATCCTCTTCTTACGCAGCACTTCCCTTATACAGCTATGTTACCATATGTTGAAATCTCTCTTTCTTACGTATGGGATTTATGTCTGAAGTTGCTTGTACGATGGCTATAACTGCCACCAATTTTGTTGACGCGCCGTCCTAATAATCGCCGCTACCTCGTATCTAGCTGCTCAAACAACACATAGCGACTGGTAGGCGACTCCAGCTATAGGAGCTAAAATATATAATTAGTATTAGTCTTTCAGAATATATATATATATATATATATATATATTCGTCAATCACCGCCCCCCACTCACTTGTTGCTTTCGACCACCCGTAACTTCTGCGATCTCTGCCTATACCTTCAACTCTCCCCTTCATATAGTGTATTAAAAAAATAATAGTAGTAATAATCACCATGTTACCAGCTCTCCATTTATGTATTTCTTTCTCTTTTTCGATATTTTTTATCATATTTCGTCAATCAGGCAAGCAGTCAACGATTATTACCACTATTCTCCTTTTGCAGTCTGTCGCAGCTGTATGCGCGTTTGTAAACTGTTACTATCGCACCACCATCACTATCTTTAGTTATTAATTATTCTTATTAGTCTATTAGCCACCATCATCATTATTACATTGTTACAGCTCTAACGCACACGCACGCGAAACAGCCTTTCGTGGATCACGAAACATTAATGGACCATATTATTCCACTCGTCTCTAGCCGATGACAGCTAGGCATAAACACAGGGGCATTCGTTCTCTTTTATTAATATCATTATATAGTTGAACGCTTTTAGAATTCTCTTCGTCTCTATGTGAAGTCTGTCTCATTTTTCTCCGACTTTTTTAATCCGCACTGGTGCCTTTAGCTTGGGTTGTAACAGCTATAGCCGCTGTTAGCAGGATTGTGTTTTTATCTGTGATTGCAGCTGTTTGCGATGCGGTTATGTTTGCTGTCGCGGCTATTCCCGCCATTATTGTTGTTGTTAGTAAAGTGTCATCGTTAACGTCATCATGGTGCGATGCGCCGTCGTTGAGTTTGCTCTTTTTATTATTGTTTGTTGTTGCTCTTTTTATTATTAGTTGAGTCATCGCAGTCGCGTATTTTTTGTTAATGAAATTCAAAGGCAACGACCACAATGTCGTAAATATTTCGAGGTTTTTGTATCTTGTTGTTGGTGATGCTGCTGTTATTATCGTTACTATTGCTGCTACCATGATGGCGGCTGCTTTTGTTCCTTCAATTCTACGTCGGTAGTTCGTCTCGGATCAGTCGTCCTGTAAAAGAAAATTGGCCGCAAGGTTCTCGTTTTTCTCACAGGCGAAGTACGCTTGCACGACAAGGTGTTCCGGAAAACCAAGCTGTTTGAGCCGTTCAATCGCCTCTTTATCGGCGGGTGTCACATGAGCCTCCATGACCATTGGGGCACCAGCTATTTCTCCTGGACCACCAGCGACGCCTAAGGCTGCTAATGCTTCAGCCTCGCCGACCTCATCATCTTCTTCGTTGAGCAGACGCATAAACTCTGCCTGGTTTTCCGTGATCAACCGTAACAGGTCCGGATTATTCGCGCCCAGCTGCTGGATAATAGATTCAAGCAGCGTGGGGTTCTCCCGGATGGCATTGCGCATTTGCTGAAATTGAGGTTGACTACGAAGGAAGTTCAAATGAGGTTCGCCCCCCTGGCTAGGAGTACCCTCCGGAGCCATAACACCACCACCAGTGCCAGGAACGCCCCCGGTTGCTGGGACATTTACACCGACTGCAGGCTCATCTTCCTCAACAGGAATGCCCTGTAAAACATTAGTTCATTATGTTTACATCTTCATAATGACAGTTCAACTGCATTAACCAGCAAGCAGAAGCCAGTTCCATACTAAGCTTAATATCATAATCTGAGCCACAAATTAATAATTTACCTTCACCAAACTTGGATAAATAAAATGCGGCTATTAGTTTGATATAACTATTAGTATCAATCCGAATTTGTTTAGCCGTTCTATGATTTTGTTGCATTGCCTGCAGAACTTTAAAGCTGTTTTTTGTTGTACAATTGCAACATAGTATTCTACTTTTTTCTCCTTACAGTCCTCCCAACACCATAAATTAGCAAACTCACTATGTCGCTCAACTACTTTGTTGTGTCGTTCCATAACCCGACTTGATCAGTCCGATCACACTACCGCAATGATTTCGATACCTTTTTTATTCTTTAGTTGTTTTGCTTTTAATATTCTATTGTTGATTCCTAGCCACACTACGAGGCTGTAGTATATTTGCCATAGCCCTGTGTTAAGTACCCCGTAAGGTTAGGTTGTCATTATGCTATTGACCTAATAACTTCTCGTGAAGACTCTGCTACTTCAAGATAAACCTGACCTTAGTTGTCCGTGTACTTCCATATAGGCATTGAGTCGGTTTAGGAACCATGCAAATAGACATTGTAAAAAGAGCTCTGGACAGAAAATGAGAAAAACTGAAATTCAATTTTGTGCTTAGGTGGCAAAAGCTCTGCTGACAAAGGTCAGGAATCGCTTCTTCAAGCCCCTCCAACAGCGTATACTACTTTATAAGTGCGATTAGATAAAAAAACAACAACAATTCATGTAGTTTGAAAACTCAAGTGATTTCGAAATTCAGGTGTATTTCAATTTTTTTGTTCATTATCAAGAAAATTGCAAAAAGTCGTTTTATCTCGGTTTACATTCGAGACTATACAGAAAATGCCTATGTAATTTTAGTACAAAAGAGCTTTTCCCAAAGGCATCGCTTTCCATATGGGGTTTTTCTAGCAAGCCAGACCTATACGTAAATAATCACAGGCATTGTTGGAGCCACTTCCAAGATAGTCGACACATCTACACATACAATCTCTTACTTGTTTGAAAGTACGTCTTAGGCGGCTGGCTCGAAACGAAATATGTCTGCCCCCACTTTCGAACCTAGACCATCTTATTGAGGCCTCTAAGTTAAATAGGCAAATACCTTTCCGTTGCACTGTCACGGGGTCACGTACAGTGTATAACGGTACTTACGGTGACAAGGTACTCGACGGCCCGTTCAGCGTTGTTATACGATGCTCGTAATGCTCTTTCGACTTGATCACGTGGGTAACCCATCTCCATAATGTTGCGAACTGTCCCGTCATAATTATCACTTCTAACAAGTCCACTTTCACCCGTGGCCGCGTTCGGGGTTGGATTCGACGGCCGCGTGGGAGTAGGTGCTACAAAACAACAAACAAACTTGTAAGCTAGACGTCAATTAGATACCTAGCACCTACCGTTAGGTAGTATAATCGATTACGCCTCAAGGGGTAGATTTTTATTGATATACTAAATGTTTAAACGTCAAGAAACTGATAATTTACAAATCTTCTCCAAATAGTAGCTAAGCAATCATCTGGGATGTAACCCGAATATAGTACATTTGATTCATTTAAGTTGAAGTTCTTGAGAACGGATTCACGTACTATCTCTAGATGGTTCATCTCTATTTAATGGGGATTCTGGGGCGTCGGGCGGAGCTGGTTTTGGTGCTGCCATGGCTCCGCCTGGAGGTGCAACAGGTGCGGGTGCAGGCTTTGATACCATAATAACGACGAATTTAACCTTATCCAATTCATATGTCTTCAATTTATCATCATCCGCCATAATTCGGCCTTGCGCGATTAGCTTCTGGTGAGCGGCCGGAAACGCCTCGCCCTTCTGTTCAAAAATCTTTTCTTTCATCTCTTTAACCTGTAATTTGAAATGCGAGTACAAAAGATCAAAGAAGCGTTGATGTGTAAATTTTTGTATTCGTTTTTTTATATGTCATCCTTATGCCATTGGATCATACTCGTAAAAAATTCTCTGAAGTATATGAAATTCCCAGTCATAAAAACACAGTAGGAGCATAAAAATTCCACATACATTACTCTCGAAATAACCCGATCCCATAAATAATAAAGTATGACGAATTAAATATACCTATACCAGGAATTATCGTAGAAATATAAGATACACAGCTAAAAGGTGTAATCTATATTTACCCACCGTATCATGTGCCACCGTATTTGGCAAAATACGACATAAACGTATACAATATTCCAATGTTACATGTATCAGAATTTAGGTGTAGCACCTCAAAATTGTAAAGTTTTCATTAAGGTTCGCCATTATGATTCAGTTCAATTAACCTGTATAGCATTTTGTACAGCAAATGATTAATTTGCCTTAAAAACTTATTGGCGAAACTAAAATGTCTGGAGAATGCAAAATCTGGGTCAACACCAATTATCTAAGGTCTGTTTAAATATATCTCCTCACATTCGCCAGATGGTATGACATAAAATGAAAAGACCACAATCAGATATCACAATCTAATATACATTAATGATAAGGCATTCCTGTTAATTGGCATCCTTAATAATAAACTTGGCAATCACACATAGTTATGTGACGCGCATATCCTATGTGTATCAATTTCCTATTGAACCAGAATCGTCTTAAGACTTGCTGTGATTATAGCGAAATGTCCTTTACCAACGAATAATACACGCTTATTTAAGTACCAGGTGTCTAGTGGTCACCAACCCACACAACGCGTCAAAAGCCAGTGCCCTGATCATTTTCGAATAACACTGAACCATAATTAGGAATTAATTAGGCTTGCCATAGATCAAGGCAACATTATCGTGCTGACCAAATATTTACATTAAATGGAAGTAAAGGTGTAAAGAGTGTCACCTATAAGGTTAACAAAAATGCGTCACATGCTATCTATAGTAAGGTCTCCATAGAATCTTTGTACGGATTTATGTAGACAATATTTGATATCCGCGATTGCTTAATGCCTGTTTTTCTCCATTAACAAAATTACACAGCAGAGCTTCGGTAAGGTTTATTGTCGTTCCCTGTAGTTTGACTCATCATTCGAACGGTTGGCCATTTTCACTCAGCAACAAATCAGGCAACATGTGTAGGCGGCAGAGAAAAGTTTCGAGGGCTACGCTACTGCTACTAAAACTGCACAGTTTTGGTCATCTCGTATTCTTCCAACGTGATGAGGCGAACTTTTTTCCTCAGACGGTTTTACGCTAAAAACGAAAAGAGTTCATCAGTTTGTTTAAAATTTGCCAGCACTGTTAGGAAGTCACTCTGTTTCCCTGTATACAAATAAAAACAACTGGTGCTGCTGAGAACTACATTTGAATTGGTTGGTAGTCTTACGTTTAGCAGACACGACCTTCGAACAGTCACAGTAAAAAAAAAAACAGTAAATTGTTGCTCTCTACAACAATTACATACGGAAATACACGCAAAACAAATTCTACAAAGCAAAGGGACAATAACGAGACCAGACATATGCATTAAGTACTTTGACCTCCAACATTTCTAGTTGCCAACGGTCTAACTCTCTCTCTCGTGCCAACGAATACAGAGAGTTGTATTGCAGATATCCCCTAACCAGATCGAGTCTCGTCGTTAATGCGCCATTTCTCGACATTTCCGAAGTCTACTGCCGCAATAGCAGGCTGTCTCAACGTTAACCGCCTAGCTGCTAAGTAATATTTTACCATTTCTTTCATTCTTCAAACATCCACGCAATCGAATGTATAACATTAGCTATATTGGGCATGCTAGGTGAAAAACGAGGATGATCCAAATCAAATGATGCAATATAGGCACTCCACTCTTCACCGGTGGGCAGATCTATATTTATATAGACCTGACAGCAGTCATTAGTTTCCATTAGAGGCGGCGTTGAATAGTAGACATAATAAGCTGGACATTATCTTTTCACACGTCCCTAGCTATCAACAACGCGGCTCGAGACCCTCGCAGCTTTGGCTCAGCCATTTGACAGAGCCGATTTGAAGACTGTTGCCGGGTTAAACCCGAGTCGACTAATGGCCATAGAAATAACTACTGGGATAAATTCAATCATACTAGAAAACAGGCATTTGAGGAATGCTGCGCCACGAAAAAACTAGCAATTCATATCTCTCGGTAATAATAGGCGGACAAATACACACGGCATATAAAGGAGAACCAAAACTATTCAGCCCGTCCCATGGGAGTCAATGCTAGCAAGTGACTATTGCAATAATCCCGCACAATTTCAGATCAAAATAATTTATAGTTACAGTACTGATGCACCATAACAATGTTTCCTGTTCACTTCTGGGTTTTTCTTGGTCACTTCACTGGTGTAACAATAGAAGACCGAGGATTTCCGCATCACAGATCAGATTCGAACAGTCCCCCCAATCATATGTCCTACTGTTGTGTGCACAGCACGATCCTGCCAGCGCATTAGATTACTACTCACCGTGCACTCATCGTCGATTTCGACGGTGAACAGTTCGTTCGTGAGGCACTTGAGACTAACCGTAAGTAACATGGTGACAAACGCTCGTGAAGATCACTGCTGCCACCCAGATTTTTTTTTGTCTCCCCTGCTTAGGCGGTGCGTTGCGAGCACGCGAATCTCTAACGTTGTAATAAAACAAAAATCTCACGTAATTTTTTTTCTTATTAATACCGGGTCCTGCTTGTCTTGCACCACTGGCACCAGTCACCACACCGCTCCCGTACGCTTAAAAGGAGCTGCGTTATCCTAATCACTCTACGACGACTTATTCACACAGCGTCACCACAAGTCGCGCCGCCATATGCAATTGACTAACACTAAACGGAAAAATGGTCGCCGGGTTTGTTTTGGTTATAAAAACGGCGCGATTTTTCGAAATTAAATGTTGGCGCGCAATTCGATTTTTTTTCTGTGTATTCATGTATATATGTATATAATTTGTAAAAAAGCTGGAGTTGTTAATAGCGCTTAGAAGTAAAACAATGCGCGTATTCTCGTCGTTGTTCTATCGAGCAACCGCTTATATGTAGCTTCAACCATGCTGCTTATGCTACTATACTCGACGATGCAGATATGTTTTAGATAATACAGGAAAAAAATTCAATTAAGGAGAATGGCGTTTTTTTAAGTGATATCTTGCCTTTTTAGAAGATGCATTGAATTCGGAGTACGAATATACTTACACATGTATAAAACACAAAAGTTTCAAAAACGGAAAGATATACTTGGGTTATTTTAGAAATGAGCCTTGCTTAGCGAAAAATTCATGTTTGATGATATTCATTTTGATCCTAAAAATACAAAACACCGTCACGAAAATTTGTGTGCACATATAGTATGGCCTATAGGACACAATGGTCATTTTCATGCTCTTGAAGGTCCACTATTTTATCTGCTTGGACCTACCGTTACATTAGTTATTAACTATATGGGATGTCTAACAGTAACACTAGGTATAGACCTCTTGCAAACGCCAGAAGCATTTGAGTTGCTCGAAGTTTTACTGTCTGCTTTAATCATTACTATGGCGACGCTGAGTGATCTAATCATAATAACATAATATTGCGTTTTTTTAACATAACCCCTTTTTTTTTTCGTGAACACGATGCTTCAAATTTTTCGCAGTGTCCTGTAGTGCGAATTGACGAAATGTGAAACGTTATTAGTCGTATCGACTGGATAACAAGTGTCACTGTTAGAGATATTATGGTGTAGGACATGAAAGCTATCTGGCTACCCCGTTGTGTCAGACAAATCCACCTGAATAATAAGGCATAAGGTCATCGATTAATCTGAATTGATTGCGGTCGAAAATTATCAAAAAACAACGAGTTAGAAAGAATGCTCATTCAAAACAAACGACGAATTTTACAACTAATTGTTAATTGCGTTAAAAAATATTCGCGCACCGGTTTAAGCGCCAAATCCAACATTTACCTAACATGATATAATGGCATTATTTCCCATGAAACCTATTCAGAGATGTCAAGCAAACATTAGTAAGAACGTCACCGGTCGTTTGTCGGACCTGACTTAATTTTCTTGCTTATTTTAGTACACAGCAGAAATGGAGGTTAAAGAAGGTATGTTTACTTTTAATAGTGTAAGGCGCATGATCAAACAGTTTGCAGGGACCTACATACATGTCACACAAGTATTTGCTTTTTTTTTCTTTTTAAATATCCTCTTCTTTTTTTCAGAAGATTATGAAAAATACCGGGCTTCACATCTGGATTTTTGCTGAGATAGTGTACACTTAAGTCAGCATTTGCTAACTGCAGTAGAACCTACTAAAATCACACGTTCTTCCGTCTATTGTTGGTCGGCACTAACTACTCTGAACGTCTTCGTTTAAAAAGTTGTGGAAATGTTTTCACTAAAATGATTTGTCACTGATTTTTGCTTGCGATATATTTTAGGTCAATATGTAGGACGAAAAGTTGAAACCGAGTTTCTTAATTCGATACTAATACGGGCCTTTCTTGTAAGAAGATAGTAGTGAAGGAGAACCCCGAGGTTTGATTATTTTAATGACAGGCATCTGCCTAGACGAAAGCGATAATGGACCAATAAGGGATACATTACATTACTTTAAATCTGAATACCAGTCGTTGTTTGACTAAAGGCCACAAAACACACAGTTATCAACGTTCAGCGACCCCCCAGCGTAAGCTTAATCAACCTTCGCAACCTTCAATCTATCGAGAAGTGTCCTCGTTGTAGTATTTGCACATATGGATACTGTTTAAAATGGCTACTCTAACAGAATAAAGGAAGAGTGCGTAGCAAAGGTATGTAGGTTAGACAGGCTACCATTAATATTCGATGGTATTATGGTTGACTTTAAGTAATACTTTAGTAGGAAAGAACTGGGCTTATCAAGTTAAGAGCATCGCACCATCGCGAGAGCGGAACGGTCATGCTTTTTGCGGTGTGAATTTCAACAATCCTGCTATTAAAGCCAAGTATGTTGTTGAGGTCGATGACCTGGCAAAGCGTATGAAAACCTTTTAAATATAATACTATGCAGTTCTGGCCCACTAGTTCCTTTGACGAAATACCTATATTCGCTTTTTTTTTTTCAATTATTTACGGTGCCTAATGTTTTATTACATATTTATTGCGTTATATGATGGCTTTATTCATCTATTCTAGGTACTAATACATTTTAATTCATTGAAATTTTGTCTCTTTTAACATAAATGTATTTATCTATCTTCAGAGTTTTATCCAAGTATTTGATATTTCGTTCCAAACCCTTTAACGGCAAAAAATATTGCGGTGCTTAAAAACAAGCGTGCCGTGTAACGATTAATATAGAAATGTAAACATATTCCCGCTTAGTCATATATAGCCCTTTAATTATTGTACCTGTTTGATAACAGTTCATATTATTTTCCTTTTGACATAATTCCTATACATGTACAGGGTAACATAGGTCATAATGGCAGAGCTTGCACACAGTGGGATATAGAAGATTTTAGACGTTAAGAGGCGAGCATTTTGGCACAAAATTAGGAAAATGGTTGCTGGCCAAGCGGAAGATTCGTGCAATAAGAACCAAGCCAATCGCTCCTGAATTCATGTATAAAGATAGGGTTATTTGGGGTCTCAAATGACCCCATTTATGATAGTGTTACTGCGTAACTAGCACATATTTAATAAACAGCGAATTTATTAGTTTTACTATTCATGCTCCTATTAAGCTTGCGAATTCAGTATTATATAGATCATTCAGTCAGTCCCGCTTCATTTCTTTAATAATTGCAGAATATATTTAAGGTGACGAAACACGAAGCTATTCCAAATTTATCGTGAACTCTGTTGCGTAGCTTATGTTTATTATATTAGGAACTGCCGTACAGATGACAGATTCGTATGGCATATTGGTCGTCTTATGATTCATTACTGAAATAAATTCAAAAATTGGCCATTAGGACGTACTAGCAAAATACAGGTAAATTATAAACCACAACAAGCGTAGTGAAAGTTTAAAAACAGCAAGCGACATTTGCTGTAAAAATAATCCCAACTCAGGGCGCCATCACGGTCATAAAAAATAAATTGCACGAAGTAGTGGCAACTTTTCATCGGCAATCCTGGAGTTTTACATTTATTATATAGTGCGTATGCTTTACAGAATAACAGCACTATCAACTGGACGAGCATTTGATACCATTACATACGTGTTAAGATGGCTAAGAAAACGTTATGCACGTAGCTGAAGTGACTGCGTTTTTCGCGCACCAGAGCTCGGTGTACAGTTTATTAAATTAGCGTGTAGAAATACTTACTTATACAAATTACTTTCGGATGTTTCTAAATTGACTTTTGACTGCTTGTGTATTGTGATCCCTGAAGAAACATTTCTATGGATAATTAATTTTTCGCTAAATATGAGTTCACAGTATCAAAGTAGGCTGGTTCGTAGCATGAACGGAAAATCATAGGATGCGAACTATTAAGAAGGGTGGCCTTAGTATGAGGTAGGTGTGTTAGATTGTCTGCCTTTTCCGTCGGGTATGCTAACTTCCGTGACCTTCGAAGCAGCTGCAACACGATTATCAAGGCACGTTAAAACCAGTATGGTGATCACTCTACCAGTTCGGTCTTCTTTGTACATCAACTCTTCGAAAGAACCCCGAACGGACTTTTTGGACGTTTATTCTGGAATATTCATGCAATGTTGATCGGGTTCAGCGTTGTTACTCGGGTCCTTTCAATGGATCGTTTGAGGACGTCACGAGCGTTTACGCCTTTTGATATGTACTAGCTTTTGCTATTGATTGCATCTAAATCGTCCCACAGTACGGTCCTTTCCTGGGCCAAAGTGCACGATCGAGTTGTCATTATAGCTAACCACCTGCACTAGTACTGATCACGTATTCGCTAGTGACCAAACGGTGCATCTTCATTGCTCGACGGCATTCATACGAGGCGCGTTCAAAAATACACTTCTTTTCTATTTGTGCGAGACAAGCGTGACCAGACGATTGTTATTCCTGTTAACGGATATATCTTCGTCCCTAAAACGACTGGATTTATTGCCTCCTCAGAGGTCATTAGCAAGGGCCAATCCTTCGACAGGACTTTCATAACAGAGTCATGTCAGCGACTTTGTTAGAGTTCAAAATGTCTGTAGTATTTTTTATTTTGTTGCATACAACGGGTGATATCATTTCGATAATGAGTAACACACGTCAAAACGGAGGCCGGCGGTCACAGTCGTATTGGTTAAGTACCAATTAGGTCTTTTTGTGGCCCAGCATTTACCGGGTCTTAGTTATAGACGACAGGTTATAACCGCTCCGATTTTTAGATGAATATGACACACTTTGCTCCAGCTTCCTCGACAATTTTAATCCAGTCCATCGGATTTTGTAGTTTGGCAGTAAAGATTTTGTTCCAGGTCTTAATAGCCGAGCGTCGCTTTGTAGTTCTTGTGCATGGAATGTCCATACGATCGTACTGTTGAGTTCTTCAGCAGCCTCAATAGTATAGCCACTTGTTTTCAATCCTCGGCACAAAGTAGACGATCTAGCTTAGCATTATTTCAATTTTTACTTTGTCAAACCAAGTGACTATCATGTGGTTAGATGCCGCTCGGCACAACTCAGTAAGAGTAAAAGCGTTACACTTTTTACGTGGTTATTTATATACCTGTGGCACCGTAAGTCAAAGGAAAAAAAAACACATCAAGCGATCTTTTGACAATTGCATTTCCCAGACACGGAATTGTTCCTCCATTTTTTTCATTTTCTTTGCGAAAAAGATATGGAGATTCGTTTTCGCATAGAATTTCAGGT